CTACACCAGAGCTCTACACCACACCTCTACACCACACCTGCGGGCCACACCTCTGCACCAGACCTCTACACCACACCTCTACACCGCACCTGTACGCCACACCTCTACACCACACCTCTACGCCACACCTCTACACCACACCTCTACACCACACCTCTACACCACACCTCTACACCACACCTCTACACCACACCTCTACACCACACCTCTACACCACACCTCTACACCACACCACCACACCTCTACACCACACCTCTACACCACACCTCTACACCACACCTCTACACCACACCTCTACACCACACCTCTACACCACACCACACCTCTACACCACACCTCTACACCACACCTCTACACCACACCTCTACACCACACCTCTACACCACACCTCTACACCACACCTCTACACCACACCTCTACACCACACCTCTACACCACACCTCTACACCACACCTCTACACCACACCTCTACACCACACCTCTACACCACTCCTCTACACCACTCCTCTACACCACTCCTCTACACCACTCCTCTACACCACTCCTCTACACCACTCCTCTACACCACTCCTCTATGTTGGATTCTGGGAATCAGTAGATGACAATCTTAAGTTATCCAGATCTAACCCTATGTCTGAAAGATATACTTTGCTGACAGGAACACATTCAGGGTAACTGTTAGTTTTCAAAAGGTATATAAGCAGACCAGATTTCAAGTTTCTAGAAAATATTTTCTCTTTTCTAATGTTCACTTTATGAACTAAATTATATTTTATATTTTGTATACTATATTTAGAATTTATAAAAAACCAAGAGCTTGAATAAACAACTAACGTATAATTGTACTTATACCTTAGATCTCAGTTAATATATCCACTATCACTCCAGTACAACCATGTCCCACCCTGATCAACAGTCCAATAACACTCACCTATTCCAATCTCAAGAAATAGGTGCCGTCCTGGTTTCGAACCTGCGCAAACAGGTTATGAGCCCTGCCAATGCAACCGACCTTATTCCCATTGAACTACTTGGTGTCCAAAACTATGATATGTGGTATCATTACTTTATGCAAGTAGTTGGTGAAGCCAGTCACATTTGGTCAGAATATGTTGAAACTGGAGATATTCAATCCGTTAGAATTGAATATGGATTACCTGATATTCAAATCAAGTCTATGAAAATAATCTTAGACACTAATCTTGTTTCTCTTATCAAAAAGAATGTTTCTAAAGATATTGAGAAAAAGATTAGAAACTCCTTCCTGATGACTAAAATGTTGGATTCTGGGAATCAGTAGATGACAATCTTAAGTTATCCAGATCTAACCCTATGTCTGAAAGATATACTTTGCTGACAGGAACACATTCAGGGTAACTGTTAGTTTTCAAAAGGTATATAAGCAGACCAGATTTCAAGTTTCTAGAAAATATTTTCTCTTTTCTAATGTTCACTTTATGAACTAAATTATATTTTATATTTTGTATACTATATTTAGAATTTATAAAAAACCAAGAGCTTGAATAAACAACTAACGTATAATTGTACTTATACCTTAGATCTCAGTTAATATATCCACTATCACTCCAGTACAACCATGTCCCACCCTGATCAACAGTCCAATAACACTCACCTATTCCAATCTCAAGAAATAGGTGCCGTCCTGGTTTCGAACCTGCGCAAACAGGTTATGAGCCCTGATACTGTTACAGTTTGTCCTACCTGCTCTTTAGGAAAAGGTCTTATTAAGAAGGGGACTAACTCTAGAACTAAATATACCAGTCCACTTCAACTCATTCAAGTTGACCTATGCGGAAATTTTCGTTACAAAGAGTATCAATCTAATCGATATTTTATGACGATTAGAGATGCTTATACAAGGTACTATACTGTCATCCACTTGAAGACAAAGAAAGATGCCACTCAAAAACTTATTGACTGGATCAACCAAACTGAAAACTTCTTTACTTCAAGAGGTAGTTACAAAGTTGGCAGTATTAGAACCGACAATGGGGGTGAATTTAAGAACAACATACTACATGAGTATATGACCTCTAAAGGCATCACTCATGAACTGACTATCCCATATAGTAGTTTTCAGAACGGTGCTGTCGAGCGTGCTCACAGAACTATTGAAGAAAGGACTAGATGTCTGTTGATTTCCGGTAGAGTTCCACCACAATTATGGAGTGAAGCTGTTTCATGTGCGGTATATCTTATTAACCGTACTCCTGTATCTTCCAAGAAGAATATTATCCCAGCCGTTTTATGGTTTCAGTTGGATTCGTTTAACTTTAACAATTTACGGACTTTTGGATGTGCTGCATATATCACATTGCCTCCTCAGCTCCGTGACGGTAAACTATCTCCCACATCCATTAAAGGTGTTTTTGTCGGATATGATTCTCATCATAAAGGATATAGAATATATGAAGTTGACACTGGTAAGATCTTTGTCAGTAGACAGGTAACTTTTGATGAGAATGTCTTTCCACTAGAAGGATTATCTATTGAAGACCTGTCTGAACAGTACACGACTTCTCCAGTTAATGGTGTTCCATCTTATTCCACAGTAACTAGTGGCTCTAGTTCATATTGTCCTTCTGGAAATGTTACTGTGTTGTCTCTACCTCCATCACCTCCATCTGATGCTCCTAATAGTGATATTTCAGATCCCGATACTGATATGTCAGACATTTCCCAAGAACAATCAGTTTCTCATGATTCCATGGATACTGATCCAGACCAACTATCTGATCATTCCCTAAACGATACACAATCATTCTCTTCTGTTCCTTCTCATAGCTCCGATTCGACGTTTAATCCTACGTCTTCCAGTGATAATAACAATTCATGCGTTGACGCGATATCGAAGCGAACCCGTTCCGAAAGTTGTGTCACTGTCCCGGTCTCTCCTGAAGAAGCTACCATTGATTCACCATCTTCTTCTTCTCGGTTATCTTCTGAGACTCCTTCATTAACAGGAGTTATTCAATCTCTAGCTGATTCTTTTACACGCCGCTCCATAGAACATTCACCTTCCCTTTCCTCATCGCAGCCAAGACAGAAAACGTCAAGTGAATCCATTGCTACAGATATTTACAATGGTCCTCAATCGGAATTTCCTGTTACTCGATTTTCAAAAAATAGGAAGGTTCACTTAGACGATATGGATGCTGACGTTGGTGTTGGTAATCAATTAACAACACTGGATGATCAAATGATTCATGAAATTGGTCTTCTTCCAAACACTCCTCTCAATCCTTCCACAACAGTTGTCACAAGGCCGGTGGCGGATATTCACACCGACGCTATACGTGCACAACTGTCATCAAATTCCAATAATTTTTCTGCTTCGTTACCATCTACATGGTTTCCTTCTGGTATTCCCGTTGGCCAAATCGCTCTTCCTCCCCCAATGAGTCCGTCACCTATCGAATCTCCTGGTCTCAGCACGGATTCATTTTCCATAGTCTCACGAGGTGATCTTACCTCATCGAGTGATTCTCCACTGGTGCCACCCTCAACTAATGGGTCTCCACTGAATTTTGCGTTGTTTGCGGTCTGGTTAGCTAGCTCTATTAGTCAGAAAACTTCCAAGGCTCCCACAACAATTAAACAGGCCCTTTATGGCCCTGATGGTGCTGAATGGCGTGCTGCTTGCCTTAAGGAATTATCTGCATTTAAAGAACACCAGACGTTTTCACTCGTCCCTCCTCCGTCTGATGGTCGTTCTCTAGGTACTCGCTGGGTATTTACTATAAAGGATGATGGAAGAAAGAAAGCTCGACTTGTTGCACAAGGATTCCGTCAGAAAGAAGGCATTGATTACACTGAAACATTTGCTCCGGTTATTCGCTACGATAGTGTTCGTGTCTTTTTAGCACTGGCTTGTTGCTTAAATCTTCGTATCCATCAGATGGATGTTAATACCGCCTTCTTAAACTCAGATATGGAGGAGTCGGTCTATGTCAAGCAACCACCTGGTTTCATTGATTCTGATCCTGCTCATGAAGGGTGGGTCTGGAAATTACATGGGGGTATGTACGGGTTAAAACAGGCTCCTCTACTTTGGAACAAACATATTAATCGTTCCCTCACTTCCTTGGGCTTTACCCGAAATGAGAAAGAGTTTGGTCTCTATTTCAAACAAACTGCTGACGGTCCTTTATTTGTTGCTCTATATGTCGATGATTTGTTGATTGCTGCTCCATCCCCACGAATCATCTCCCTAACTAAGAAGAAATTACAAGAAATCTACTCTATGAAGGATCTTGGTCCTGTATCCAAATTTCTCGGTATGAATATTACCCAATTTCCCAACGGTAATATCACGCTATCATTAGCAGATTATATTGCCAAAGCTGCCGCTGATCAACAAACTCCCCTACATAAGAAAGTTCACATTCCCCTATCTCCCACGATTAATTATTTTGATTCTAATTCTCCTGCTGCTAAAAACATTACTACTTATCAAAGCATAGTTGGTCAACTTATCTTTATTGCTAACGCAGGCCGTCCTGATATTGCTTATGCTGTCTCGCTGCTTTCTCGGTTCCTTAAGGATCCTCGTGTAGTTCATTTAAATGCTGCTCATCGTGTTTTGCAATACCTTTATACTACTCGTTTCCATGGTCTCGCTTATCGTGCAGGCTCACCGCTTCAGCTCACTGTCTATTCTGATGCTTCGCATGGTTCTTTGGCGGATATGCCCTTCTCAACGGGGGGTTATGTCACTCGCCTAGCTGGTGGTTGTGTCACTTGGTCATCTAAAAAGATCAAGACAACAGTTTGTCTTTCCTCCACCGAAGCAGAATATATTGCTGCTAGTGAAGCTGTTAAAGAAATTGAATGGTTAGGTGATCTTACTACTGTTATGGATCTCACACTAAACAAAACAAAATTATATGTTGACAATGAACCAGCAATTAAGTTAAGTAAGAATCCAGTAATGCATCCAAGAACTAAACATATCGCACTGAGATATCACAAAATCAGACATGCAGTGGAACAGGATATTGTTGATTTGGAATATGTTAATACAAAAGACCAACAGGCTGATATCCTAACTAAAATTTTAGCTAAATCCCAATTTGAAACCTTAAGAGATGAATTAGTCTCAAATTTAACTACTTAATAAATTAACATACAGAATTAATTTATTATGGAAAGCTTGCATCTAAAGCTTCCGGGGGGCTGTTGGATTCTGGGAATCAGTAGATGACAATCTTAAGTTATCCAGATCTAACCCTATGTCTGAAAGATATACTTTGCTGACAGGAACACATTCAGGGTAACTGTTAGTTTTCAAAAGGTATATAAGCAGACCAGATTTCAAGTTTCTAGAAAATATTTTCTCTTTTCTAATGTTCACTTTATGAACTAAATTATATTTTATATTTTGTATACTATATTTAGAATTTATAAAAAACCAAGAGCTTGAATAAACAACTAACGTATAATTGTACTTATACCTTAGATCTCAGTTAATATATCCACTATCACTCCAGTACAACCATGTCCCACCCTGATCAACAGTCCAATAACACTCACCTATTCCAATCTCAAGAAATAGGTGCCGTCCTGGTTTCGAACCTGCGCAAACAGTGTAGAGGAGTGGTGTAGAGGTGTGGTGTAGAGGTGTGGTGTAGAGGTGTGGTGTAGAGGTGTGGTGTAGAGGTGTGGTGTAGAGGAGTGGTGTAGAGGTGTGGTGTAGAGGAGTGGTGTAGAGGAGTGGTGTAGAGGAGTGGTGTAGAGGAGTGGTGTAGAGGAGTGGTGTAGAGGAGTGGTGTAGAGGAGTGGTGTAGAGGAGTGGTGTAGAGGAGTGGTGTAGAGGAGTGGTGTAGAGGAGTGGTGTAGAGGAGTGGTGTAGAGGAGTGGTGTAGAGGAGTGGTGTAGAGGAGTGGTGTAGAGGAGTGGTGTAGAGGAGTGGTGTAGAGGAGTGGTGTAGAGGAGTGGTGTAGAGGAGTGGTGTAGAGGAGTGGTGTAGAGGAGTGGTGTAGAGGAGTGGTGTAGAGGAGTGGTGTAGAGGAGTGGTGTAGAGGAGTGGTGTAGAGGAGTGGTGTAGAGGAGTGGTGTAGAGGAGTGGTGTAGAGGAGTGGTGTAGAGGAGTGGTGTAGAGGAGTGGTGTAGAGGTGTGGTGTAGAGGTGTGGTGTAGAGGTGTGGTGTAGAGGAGTGGTGTAGAGGAGTGGTGTAGAGGAGTGGTGTAGAGGAGTGGTGTAGAGGAGTGGTGTAGAGGAGTGGTGTAGAGGAGTGGTGTAGAGGTGTGGTGTAGAGGTGTGGTGTAGAGGTGTGGTGTAGAGGTGTGGTGTAGAGGAGTGGTGTAGAGGAGTGGTGTAGAGGTGTAGAGGTGTGGTGTAGAGTGTTGGATTCTGGGAATCAGTAGATGACAATCTTAAGTTATCCAGATCTAACCCTATGTCTGAAAGATATACTTTGCTGACAGGAACACATTCAGGGTAACTGTTAGTTTTCAAAAGGTATATAAGCAGACCAGATTTCAAGTTTCTAGAAAATATTTTCTCTTTTCTAATGTTCACTTTATGAACTAAATTATATTTTATATTTTGTATACTATATTTAGAATTTATAAAAAACCAAGAGCTTGAATAAACAACTAACGTATAATTGTACTTATACCTTAGATCTCAGTTAATATATCCACTATCACTCCAGTACAACCATGTCCCACCCTGATCAACAGTCCAATAACACTCACCTATTCCAATCTCAAGAAATAGGTGCCGTCCTGGTTTCGAACCTGCGCAAACATAGAGGAGTGGTGTAGAGGAGTGGTGTAGAGGTGTGGTGTAGAGGTGTGGTGTAGAGGTGTGGTGTAGAGGTGTGGTGTAGAGGTGTGGTGTAGAGGTGTGGTGTAGAGGTGTGGTGTAGAGGTGTGGTGTAGAGGTGTGGTGTAGAGGTGTGGTGTAGAGGTGTGGTGTAGAGGTGTGGTGTAGAGGTGTGGTGTAGAGGTGTGGTGTAGAGGTGTGGTGTAGAGGTGTGGTGTAGAGGTGTGGTGTAGAGGTGTGGTGTAGAGGTGTGGTGTAGAGGTGTGGTGTAGAGGTGTGGTGTAGAGGTGTGGTGTAGAGGTGTGGTGTAGAGGTGTGGTGTAGAGGTGTGGTGTAGAGGTGTGGTGTAGAGGTGTGGTGTAGAGG